CATTCTATGATTCTGTGATTCTATGATTACTCACTCAAGTGGGCAACACAAGCAAACAGGCCTGCAGTGTCTCTCATTTCCCTCTCTAATGTAATTCCTAGCACTGAGTTCATTGCCATACTCTTGATTACCCTTATTCCATTGTACTGGTAAAAGCTTTGAGAATTTAAGTCAAAGCACAATCTTCCCCCAAGACACATGAATTGTTCCGAAGAAAAACTAATAATCTAAGAAAGGCCAGGACCATGAAGGAATGTTAATTCCTGTGAGACCAGATTCTACACTGTCATTAAGTACATTAAAGACAGCTTGGATTGTTCTTCCCTCCTTCAAAGGCTGAGCTTAGTGTGCTGGAGTTTACCCAGTCAAAATCCAGTCTTAACACAGTGTTTACTGTCTGCTTCCAAAATGAGTAAGTGCAGAAACACTTTGATTTCAAACAACAATAACAAATACTTTTTGAGAAATAGAGTAATACAGACTCTTGTTACTTCCTTTAGCAATTCCTGAAATGCCTAAAGAAAGGGGATCCTGCTTCGTGATCTGCATATTTAGGACTGTCCCCTCGTTTTACAGACTGAGGATCTATCTTCAGACTCTGGATTCTGAAGCGGAAAATAACCCCATGCATGTGGATCCTCATGCCTGCGAGAACCCTTGAGTTCAGTGGGGTTCTGATCAAGATCCTGTGAGAGACCATGATAAACTTTGCTTTAAACTTCCCAGCTACGGAAATACTTTTGCATGGCCCTAAGTCGACTGACTTCTTTTTCTCTTTAAAAATAATTTTAATGAGTGTTAAACATATGATATGCATGAAGGAATAGGTGAAGCTTTAGACCTGGCCAACTTCTGGCTTCTGTAACTGCTAGAACGGTAGTAGAAATCTCTTACAGAATGGTATTTCCTCAGAGGTAGAGCACTGCTAATTATCCCTTTCTAGAAAAAGGAAAAAGGAAGTTTAAACCAAAACAAACATGAGTCTAGAGCTATAGGACTTAACTATGTGCAGATTATCCCATAAACATGGTCTTAAAAATAAATACTTTTACTTACAACTTATGGTGATGCCCAGTTCCACATTATGCTTCTTTGGTAGTTTTACATGAAATGTTCCACTGCTCGGTATAACTGATTCTATAAAAAAATATTTAAAATGTTAGATAATTTATAAGGCGCAGCAATTCCAAGTGCGTGGAACTACACGTGTAAGTTGATGAAATCACATGAGCATCACAATCCACGGATAAAACACGGGTGCTGAAGTGAAGGAAGTAGGACGTACAAAGATTGATTTATTCCTCTTTTGGTAATTTCACAGTAACTCAATTTTTTTTAACGTTTAACTGAATTTATGGAGATTGCACAGGCCAGCAGCCAGCTGACACTGCAGGTTTTTAGCTTGTATGCAAGTTCTGTGAGTACATGTGAAAATTTTAGTGCTGGCAGATAACTTTTAGTTAAAAGGACAGGAAATCAAACCTTAAGGATTTCAGAGCTTCGTTGCTGTAGGTCTAACATATTTTTAACTGTCCACTAAGGTAACTGCCATGGATTTTACATCTAGTGGGAAGAAAAGGAATCAAAACATCACTAGTAGAGAAGCGCCTGGAGCTGACTGAGGCAAAACACCTGAACACACAGCACTGTATTTGAATCCTGACTTTTGACATCACTGCTAGCAAAAGTTTGGGCCTTGGCCTGAAAAGGAGAGACCGAAATTACAGCTGTAGAAACATATAAATGTGCATGTGGCAGAGAAGTCTAACTGTGAATACAAGTCTGCTGTCTTGGAGCAAATGGGAGGAACACAAACAAGTCCAGAGACTAAAATACATGTGACTTCAGGTATATTTAAGCAACTTCCTCATTATTCATCTTTTTTATTTTAATATTTCATTTCCTATGTATATGAATGTACATATTGTATTTGGCTTTTTCTTTTTTAGCATCATACTAGATGCGTGCATACTATAGGATTATATGGAATTACTCAAGGAACCTTTAGCCTGCTTTTGGCATCATGATTTATAATACTAGTAACAATAATCATACAACACAAAATGCAGCACATACGACACTGTCATGACTGCAAAGGAGCTACTGTCAGATGAACGCAGAAGTCTTAAAAGTTTTTACTGTTTATGTAGTGGGATAGTGCACATACCCCACAAGTATGCGTTTGCATTTGCTTGATTTAAACAATTTTTGATTTTATAGGTATATCCTGTATGCTTAAACACATCACAGAAGGAAAGCTGTTAAATCAAGACTCGCCAGCAACATTAACAATGATATTTTATGGCTTTTAGTAATTAATTTTTTATTATTTTATCTACATTATTGGTTTGAGACACTGTAACTGGAACTCTTCAGAGTTTTTGTTTATCCACCCTTTTATAATACTTTTCTGTCTAGTAAAACATGTCATTAGTTGGCCTGTAGAGAATTTGTCTCTGCTATGCAGAATATTTCTATCTGAGGGCAGAGAAATGTCAGGAAACAACTGAGAGGAGGGACTGTCACCTGATCTTACTACAGAACTTGTCATTTCTATTGGTGTTCTCAAGCACGCTGCAGGGCTACATGAAATGAGAAAGCTGTACCAAAAGACACACATTTCAGATACGTCACTGAAAACCAAATGGCACATATATAAGTGAGAAGAAAGTCTCCACCTTGGATGCCTAACACATGCAACGTACCTGAGATTTATACCTTCACTTTTCTTGCAAGACAGAATAACGCTACATGCATACCTGCAACATCAAACTCTATTTCCAAAGTGACGTTGTTGGTGATAGAGGAGTCTCTGAGCAGTTGATTGGCCTCATCAAATGTGCTGTCCTCCGTCGGGATACCGTTTATTGCCACTATTCTGTCTCCTATTTGCAGCACCCCACACCTTGGCGCACAACGACACAAAACAATCATCAGATCTGCACATAACCAGAACCAGCAACAGCAAACACATTCGACCTAACCTCGAAGAAGTGTGGCACAGCAGCTCAACAGCCTGACCAGGCACGGAGCCCGACAGAAGCTGTTGCTGCCCCTTTGCAAAACCAAGACACTATCAGGTGCTCACAGCTTGGGTCGTGCTCTCTAGGTGCTGGGACTCAGGAAGAGAGGAACAGCCCTCATGCCTCCACCTCACCCATGGACATCACCGCTGCCTCTGGGCTACGGGTGCTGTAGCTCTGCAGCAGCTGCTAGTACTTGCCCATGCAACTACTATTGCTCTCATGCCATGATTAAAGACACACATAAGTATAAAAATGCAATCAATACGCTGTCATGAAATCATAAGCATGTCAAAACTCTGGCACTCCTTATGGGTTCTGTACCAAAACTGAACAGAGCTGGATGTGGCCTTCCCCCATGGCAGGCTGAATTATCACTATTTTGACTTCAGCGATTTTTCACATTTTTTTTCCCTCTCTTTTGCATGAATATAACTTCCAGTCTCCCGCTGGAGGACTCTGGATGACAAAAACACTGGTGCCTGTCATTTTTCTTACAGCTGATCAAGCATATGAAATATCATTGTCAGAACAGACAGTTTATTACTTGCCACACTTCCATTGAGCAAGGCCCTGCAATTTATTACAAATCAAAAGCAACAAGCCCAAAGTACCCCGAGGAACGCTTACCAAAATGTACTTAGCAACCAACTACAAGAACCTCACCTTTCCGCTGGGCTGTCAGACTCAATATACGAAATGAGAGGTGGAGAAGACAAGGTCTCAGTAGCAAACACACTACCCTGGAGCTGTATCCCAAATCCTACTACAGGGTCAGCTGTCAGCACTACTTCTGTAGTTTCTGTGTGGACGACCTGCCCAGCCAAACCAACAGTGCTAGAGGCTAAAGACACTATAAAACAGAGCAGATCAGGAGGAAAGGCATTCAAACACAGCAGAAATATTATTGCTCTTCGAGAAAATCGATCTGTACAATAAACCTAGTCAACGAAACATCTCTTTTAAAGTCAATTTAGGCTAGAGTTTATAAATTATGTATAAACAGGATGTAAAAGAGAACAGAAAACATCTGGTTGCACGTTAGAATGCAAAAAGACAGTTCTTGCACTGAGTAAAACGTGTGTGACACCCTCACCCCAAAAATCTCAGAACATCCTCTGATTCTGTTTGCATTGGGTGTGAGGCATGGATGAGCAGAATTTTCACAGGAGCTAAGGGAATTAGTAGACGCAAGCCCAGCTGTTATTCAGGATGATTCCCATGAGCTCTTTTGCACATCTCACAGCACTGCTAGCAACAAAGCACATGGCCCAGGTTTGCCTGCAAGAAGTAAGGATGCCTTCCTCTTGTATGTGCTTACTATACATCAGTAATTTGTCAGGCTAACTGGGTAGTGTAAGTTGAACAAATCTCTCTGTTTTAGCAACCAGTATATCTCAAGACGTTGTGAGAAAAAAAGTTCTTTTGGCTGCCTCCAAGGAACTGGGTGACTCTTCTGTGAGAAACACAGGCATCTACTTCTGTATTCCTGATTTACTCCCGCTCTCTATTCTCTCTCTTGTTCTGAATAGGCTGCATTTCACAACAAATCAAGAAAAAAACAGCATTGAGATTCATGCAATTCCTTATGAAAGGAGGACAGTGCACCTTTGGTTCTTTGATCTCTGCCTAAATGTCTGTTGTATCGTTGTTTGAATTCCTCCAGTGACAAACCACTGCCTTTCATTATGTCATAAACACAAAGCTAGAGTTTTTCAGTTCCCGTTCAGACCAGTCAAGTAAGGATAATCCTCCAACAATGATGATTCTGAATGTTTTCAATTTATAAATCTATGCATTACCTCTCCGCCTCTAATTTCCTTCAAAATCCATTTCTTCCTGCAGTAGCTACTAAGAATTAGGTAAGAACTCATGGTGTATCTGAGGGATAGTTTCGTTCATGGTGAATCTGAGGGATTGTTTTAACTGTGGCTGTTTTTCTTCTTCACTGTGTTTTGTTTCTTACATTATAGATACTAGCATAGGTGCATAAACATGTCAGAGGTGGTATAAGTATTTCCTGCACTTTAGGGCTACAAGCATCAGGCTTTTGCTCTGAAACAGTAAATGACTGTGGCATAGCTGGCAATGACAGTTCTGTTGTTTTCTCCCAGTATAGTTCCTTTCATCTCTGAAACTTCAAATTACTATGAATTCTCACTCATGTCTAGTTTGAATTTTCCATTGTAAGAACTGTGTATTATTTCAGCTACTCAATGCCTTCCTTGTTACTGTTTCTTATACCTGCACTCAGTAAGACATGCTCCTACTCAAATGCAAATACTAATAATCTATTTCTACAAATGGCCACCAGCTTTAGCGTTTACTGTCTGTGAAAAACAGGCTAAAATATGCCTAACAATTATTTGTTAGCCACATCTTTTGTTTCCTATCACTTACGTGTGCAGTCCCCCTGTGCAGCAGGCACCTAGCTGACTCTAACTTTCTTAATTTTTTTTAATGGCCAACCAGGGCCCTAAAGGTCTCACAACATTTATTTCAACCTTTAGGACAGGTATGGTTTTAACTCACCTTGGGAAATTAAGTTACTGTTTGTGGGATTTAAAACTCACCCTGATAAACATTTTGGTAATGTGAACGCTTAACACTGACAGTTAGGAACTCCTCCCACTCTCAAAGAAGAGGAAATAGAAACAACAAAAAAGCAGAAATGAAAATATCCTTTCCAAATCATGTAACAATAGCTACCCACTAACCTCTATAAAATGCCACAGGTACCCAACTTAAGAGCATGCTGGGGGTTTGTAACTCAACAGTAACTGCAGCAAGAAACACTGTCTTTTTTTTTGGCTGCTTGATGGATTTGAAGTTTTACAGATCAGGAAACAGCCTTACTGATTTTAAAAGCAGTTCCTTTATGCTCTGCAGTCACGGAAATTATAATCGTGAATTCGAAGACTGTTACTTTTATTCCTGCAGCCGCACAAAAAGCAGAGCAAGATGTATTTAAAGGTATGTATACAGATTATTATGTCTGCAGTTTCCTGCTCTGACCCTTGAGAAATTGCAAAATGTTCACTATTCCTCATGGTAGAAGCTAATTTGGATCTCTTGAGAAAACAGCACCCATGCATGTCTAAGACCCTTTCTAATTTCTACCTGATCTGCAGCCCTAGTAAGTATGATGTAAATTGATATAAAATTGTGTCTCACTTTTAAGTACTAATACGGACCTATTACAAAATACTTCCAAGATTTACACTTCAGCCCAATAACAATCAAGTGTTTCCACAACAAACACCTTGGATCTCTTGAGAAAACAGCACCCATGCATGTCTAAGACCCTTTCTAATTTCTACCTGATCTGCAGCCCTAGTAAGTATGATGTAAATTGATATAAAATTGTGTCTCACTTTTAAGTACTAATACGGACCTATTACAAAATACTTCCAAGATTTACACTTCAGCCCAATAACAATCAAGTGTTTCCACAACAAACACCATAGTTAAAAAAAAAAAAAAGCAGTGGAATAATAAAAATTGAAAGCCAGTGGCATAAATAAAGCATGTGACAGCAGGGCACACCTTCAATTTGTACAGTCACATGTTTGGAAGTATCTGTGTAACAAATGCAGTGATTGTAAAATCATGTCCCCTGTGCCATCACACTTGATCATCATAAATTTTGGCATGATCACATGATGTTATGCAGGTTTTCCCAAATAATTGGCAATGTAGGCTTCATAGCACTCTTCACCAATACCTTGGTGAAGGTATCCTTTTCTTCCCAAATGACATCTGAAAAGGCTTATTAAAAGTTACATTAATAAAACCCTCAGATGATCCAATTGCATGAAGGAAAAAAAATACCCCAGTAAAATTAAGAGGGAGTACTATTCGTTTTCTATGAAAAGGAGAGCAGTTGATGCTATCTGGTTCTCATGAGTCCCCAACAAAGGGAGAAGGGCAAGGTTTTCAAGCTCAGTCAATGGACAGCGGAAGGGCACAGGACCAGTCAGTCTCTATCATGGTCACTTGCATCATATTCAGTCTGGTGTTAAGTTGGCTGGTACTGCAGTCACACGTATGCGTATAAATCTAGTGACAGGAGTAAGGGACTCTGCATGGGCTGAAAAGCAAGCTCACAGAGAGGGCAAGGAAGCCTGGCTGGTCAGCCAAGTCCTCCAAAGCCAGCTCTGAAACAGGGTTGCTGAGGTAGTTACTGGTCATAGTGAGGCACAGACTCACCCAGTGATGGGGCCAGTTCCACGTATTTTTTCAATGCCTCAGCTAATTCGTCCTAGCTAGAGATTTATTTAATTATAATAGCCTGTCACCCCAAAGGCCTTATGACTTTAAGAATCTTTCAGGTGGGCTGCAGTGCTTATGTGACTGCTCTGCTTAAATGTGATGTCACTGGCCTTGTTTCGAGCCGTTGCAGGATAGAAAATTGCAGGGCAAGGCTTCCTTGAAGGAAAATATCTGAAAAGAATAACAACACAAGGGACAGCTGTCTCCAAGATTCATAATAGGACCAGCTTTCAGGATTAACAGTCCTGTATTGCACGGAACAGCTACAATACAGCACAATTGAATAACTATTTTTTGCATCCAGTGTTATTTTACTATTCAAATCAATTACTATTAGTGTAACATTACTACTGTTTCTCCTGTGCACATGAAGGCATTTAAGAGCTGGACTCCTACTGATACTATAGCATGGATGGAGACACTATCTCCTCTGTGACCCAAAAAAATGCATTAAAAGCTAACATGTCAACGGATGAGTTATGAAAAATGGCTGATCAGGTTAAAAATAAAAAATGCACTTACAGGTCAACGTTATGTTAAAATATTTGCTTTGTGAAAGAAAAAAGAACTAGCAAGCAACAAAAAGCTGCAAGAAAGCAAAACCTCAGGTCCTCTCTCAGATGTTTCCTCACAACTGCATAGTGACTGGTCTTAGTTGGAGGCTGCTGGTTTGCATTGATTTTGCTATGACCAGGGGGCAGCAGTGCTGCAGGGTGCAGCAGCTCAGTTTTTCCGAGGTGGACCTGTGAGCATTATTAGCCAAATCAGATTAATTTACAGATCAGTTCTCACCTCCCTGCTCTGGAGGAACTGAGATGCTGAGGATCACATGAAGATGGAGAAGTCAAAAGGAGGGGCAGCACTTGTATGGAGTCTGGGGAACAACACGCTGATACAGCCATACTCTCTCCGGCCCAGTGAATACTTAGAAATATGCAAAGTAGAACAGCCTGAAATATATCCACCCTAGCTTGGGAAATTACTGACTCATGGGAAATCTACACTTTGAATCCCAGAGAGTGGTCAGAAGTAATGTTATTTAGTTTTCACTGTTATTTGTTGCTCCTCCACACAAAAATGATTGTACAGGTTATCATGCAGATGTTAACGTTAAAATTACCTAGGAGGTACTCATGCAAAATTTTCCCCTTCTGTAGTATGATAGTTGGCTGAGCTTACTAGCAATGTCTTTTTGACTGCTCAGCTATGAAGTCTATTCCCTGATGGAAACCGGAAGAGTTGAAAAGGAATCTGAAAATCACTTCAGTAATGGTCAAACAAACTCTTCCAGAATTGTCTGAAGAAAACATTGCTTTATATATTTCAGATGAGATGGCTAAGCTGCATGGCCTACACTCATCTCATTTTAGCACTGGACAAATATTTTTTTTTTTCCCTACATCTAACAGAAACTCCAATTGTTCTCTCTTTTGTCTAGTGTATATATATATATACAAAAATTAAGGTACTTTGTACCTTTTTTTCTGTATCTTCCCCCTCCTCCACCCATTCACTGCACATTTTGAGCAAATGCTGTTACCACCTACAGGAGCTTTTGAAGTCCTTCTTTTTCATCCTCCGCCTCATCATTGTCCCACGCGGGCTGGTGGAGTAGAGGCTGCGAGGTAATGTCCCCATGTTCAGGGAACTCAGGCTGTATGCACTCATGGAGGTAGGAGAGAAGGATGAAGACACCAAAGCTGCTGCAAGAAATCAAACACTTGGCATACAGCACTCAGTCTTTCACAGAAGAGCGCGGCACATGCCTGTAACTCATCAATGAATCAAACAATGTATATGAGGCACAGGAATGGTTCCAGTAACAAACACATTAAACCACATAGGTGACCCTAGGTAAAAGTATAGCCAGCATTTCATGAAAATACCTGCTGGAAGCTAACGAAGATAATGTCGATACAAAAATTACATTAATAGTATACAATTTATTTTAGGCGAAGCATGTTAAATTAAATTTTTCAACACATACCTATGAACCAATGCAGATCAATATGTCTAGATATACTAATTTAGAAATGCCTTTTTGTAGTAGGTAATTTCTGACAAAAGATCTGTAAGCAATGCTTTGCATTCGAAATTCATGCTTTATATACATTATTCAAATCTAATGGTCTACTCATATAGCAGAAGAGCTGATTCAGTCAGAATTTTCAAGCCTTTTCCTGTCTACAAAAGTTGCCTTACCACAGAAAGGAAAAAGCATAAAATGTCAGAAATAACCTTGGCATGGCTATGAAAAAGTGTAGCATCCATAAAACTGAAAAGGTTTTAGTGCCTGAAATGGGAAAAATATGAGTAAAAGAAGAGAGGAGGGAGGAGGAGGAGGAAGAAAAGGAGAGACTATATCATTTGGAAAAAGCATGGAACATTACGAAGGCTTTTCTGAGGAGGCGCATTCTGGAATTTCAAGGCTGGCATCCTGCAATGGTCAGGGTGGTAGGTGTTATAATGGTGGTAGGTGAGGAGGCTGCTGTGGCTGTTGGCACACGAATCCCAGGTAAGTTGCCTGTTGCTTCTTTGAACTTTCACTGCCCGCATGAAGGGATGATGGAAAATCAGAAAACAAAAGGACCAGAGAAGAGGGAAAAGTAACTGAACTGCACAAACAAACAAAAAAAGTCCAAAAATGAAAATAAACTGAAAGTAAAGTAAAATGAAATCATAAACAATGTGGTCTTGTCTTCTTATCAGGGGGTGCTAACTTAAGGAACAGAAATATTTTTGTTTCTCAGAATAAATGCTTCTGATATTGAGTTGGTTTTGTGGTTTTTTTTTAGTTTCATTATATTTGTTTTTAAAAGGATTAGTACTGGATCAATTTCTAATCTCACTCTGGCTTTAGGAGCTAAGATTGCAAGCTCCTTAGAAAATACTGAGGTATTATATATGACCATTAACTGAAGGTTAATAAGTCTCTGCTCACATTCACCTACACAAAAAAGATCAACCAGATACTATACATAGCACTGCCTAGAATGGAGATGTTTACTTGCCAGTCATTTCAATTTACGGCATTGACATTTTAATTTTGCCACCATCTATTGTTGTCATTATGCTACTCTGTGCAGTAAACCACTTCCCTGAGCCAGCAGCAGAAAAACTCTGTCCTGAAGCCTGGCTATTAAAGAGTTCTTATTGATCACTTGAATGTGCAATTTAATGTGTTCTCTTTCTTTCTGAACTTAATCTTCAAAACTTAAAGATGATCCTTTTCTGGATGAAATTTGAGACCATATTTGGATGCTGGAGTCTGGGATATGCCAGAAGTGAAGGCCAGTATTTACCAAGAGAATGAGAAGCATCTCAGCTGATGTGTTAAATGTTAAAGGGAAACGATTGAAGTCAGCCTTCATTAAATTTAGTGTGGCCATGTCCTTTCTGAACCATAGAGGAACATTTCAGACTGGGGACTGTCCACTGGATTTTTGTCTTAAAAACACTGAAGGAGTCACATGTACTATGAAACCGAAGTTTGGGCCATAAGCTGTACTACATTTGTTTGCTGCTACCTGCAGTATCCATAATGGCTGCAGACACACGACCCCATTCTGGACTTCAACAGTAGCCAAAAATCTTGACTGTCTAGATTGGGTGCACACATTGCATTCACATCTTACTCCATGAGACAAAATCAGGGGGAAAAGGGTAACTACTGCAGCAAGCACTGTGCAGAGCCAGAGGAAAAGCTGTCCTTCTGCTTCACTCCATATCACATGAGCAAAGATCTGCCAATTGTCCGAATATGTCAACCCTCCTCTGCCTCAAAAGCAATGCCTGTCACTACTGCAAGGAGCACAGACAAGGGAAGGGAGGGGAAAAGGAGAGCACCAGGGACCACGACGTCCCCACAGCCTTGTGGAGTGGTGGGCACTCTGGAGGCCCTGGGCCTGTGTCCCTCTCTGAAAGCACCCCTGCCGTGCCCTGATACGTGTCTGAATCAAAATAATTCCTCTTATTTATTTTATTTTACTTTATATTTTATTATTTTTTAAATCTCTCAGCATATCGCTAAGATGAGGATGGGGCGTGACTCCAGCACCAGGAGGAGTGCACCTGCGCCCTGGGGTACCTGCCCCGCTGGCACCAGCGACCTCATAGAGACTTTGGAAAATCTCACATCAGCCAGAAAAGTCCCAGAAACAGCAGTCTGGATATAGCCATATGTATCTTACAGACTTATCATATCTTCTCAGATGAAACCCTCTCTTTGATTCTGCACACAGACAGCAAGATTTCTGAACTTTAGCTACAGTGTAAAAATTAAAATCTGATAAGAACCATGTGGGCCAGGTGGATTTTCATTATTTTCAAGTTGCTGTGAGCCTTGTTTAATTAAAAAGACTGCTTCCAGCAGGAAATTATCTGGTAGTCTTTGATATTTTTTGTAATGTTTTATTTTCACGCTGAGAGTAGAGATAAAAATGTCCTACAAAGTGGGAAGGTACACAAATTGAGTTTGCTCAGCTTGTAGAAGGATAATGCCAATTCAACAAAAAGTTCTGTAAAAGAAAATCCTATTGTGTGTAACCGTAGTAATTTAGTGGTAATTTGAGCTATTGCAACCCAGGGTTGTGTACAGCAAACATAAAACTAATGGGGCAGCAAGAGAAACGAATGTTAGCAGCACAGTATGAAGGAAAAAAATAACATGAAAAAAACCCTGATCTTTTATAGTGCTCTGCATTCTATTTCAGGGCTAAAATTTCAATTTATTTTATATACTGACTTTCCAGCCCATTTTAAATTCCTAACATGTTCCCATAAGACCAATAACCGAGCTCAACAGATACAGCCCTAATGACTCAGCTTATCCCAGACACCTAAAGGGAACTTTCCAAACTCTGCAGCATCTAGGCCACACCACGCCTGAGGGTAGGTCATTTCCAGCAGGGTACCTGCTCCCATAAAGCTCCATACATCTTGAATTTGTCATGATATCGGAGCAGCACCACCTAGTGAAGGGCTGAGAAGGGCTGTAAAAGTTTTTCTGCCTTAAGAAAGCAACTTTATTACCTTATGGAGATTTCTCTCCAAAAGATGCTTTTATGTAGCTTTTGCAAATACCCTTGATATGATTTTGTAATGGCCAGTTCTTAACTCTGTCATGGAAAGAGCACTGCATTTTGTAAGCATCTACATTGGGTCAGAGTGACTAGCACGTTAACAGCATCAATTTATTTTAAATGTTAGTTAAGAAACTAGCTGCTTCAAAGTAATACAATCATCTAGACAAATCTTTGGCCTCGGTACTCATCTTCCCAAAGCAAACATTCTTCAAAGGTTCTTTATCCAGCCAGAAATTGATTGTGTGACAACTTTGCTCCAAAAAAAACCCCAACAAAAAAAAAGAAAGATCTGTTTGCAACCTACTGTCATAACTGAAAAGAATAGAAATATATTGCAAAATTTGGTCCTCATCTCATTCTGCTTCTGCAGTAACACTCCCTGCTCCCTCAACCCTCTAATCAGCTTAAGTAGAAAGGGGAAAGAGGTATAGCTGAAAAACGGTAGAACACGGTACTGGGAGCATTACGTTTTGTTCACCCTGATCTAGGAGAAAGTAGTGTCTCCTCAGCTGCCAGTTCAGTATTCACCACTCTGATAAACTAAGCACCATTTATCACGTTTGTGTTTAAGTGTCACATATGTTTAAGTGTCACTTAAGTATCACATGTGTCACTTTAAGTACCACATGTGTTTAAGTGTCGCTTAGACGTGGTGTTGGGTGATATGGTTTAGGTGAACTTGTAGTGTAGGGTTAATGGTTGGACTTGATGATCCCAAGGGTCTTTTCCAACCTGAATTGTTCTATGATTCTATGATTCTATCCAGGGACAGCCTGGATCTCAGACAGATGCCTGAGGACATTTACCATTACTGGCATTTCTAGGCATTACAAATCTTGACTTGGTCTAAAGGAGGCAGAAGCACAGTACCAGAGGCTCAGAAAATGATACCATTGGTTCATCCTGCAACAGACGTACCTATTCTCTGTGTAGTGGATAACCCTTGTTACTTCTTTGATGTCCATCAATATGTGGTATTTTAGACTGAATTTATGAATAATGTGAATTAGCTGTTTTCCCAGGATTAGTCAGAAGACAAGACAGGCAGCCCCCACCTTCAAATAGTCAGACATTTTTAATACATTCGATTTGAAAATAGAAAGCTGTTCTCTTCAAGCATGCTGGTATGAAATAAATATCATGGTGAAAAACGGCTGGGATCTGGGGAACTGTTTCCAAACAAACCTTTTTCATAAGCACTGACAATGAACCCATTAAGCAATCACAAAAGTACTTTAAAAGATGATGGCAATAAATAATCATGCCATTAACAAAAGAAAATGCAGGGGACTTTTGAGGCATTTTAGAGGAAAACAGGTGCTATTAATGACTACCAAGTCAATATGTTGAAAAGAAGTTGGCTGTGGTCCTTTGTCCCCTTCTAAATTTAAACAGCTATTTAGAGATTCATTTTCTGAAGTACCCAGTCGCCCCCCAGTGATTGCAAGAGCAGAGTCAACAGGTGTCCCTCTCTATCGACAGGAATCTCAGAGCGTACATTAAGGTCAAGAAAACACGGAGCTTCTCAAAAACTGCAGAAGCATAACCTGGGGAGCTGAAGCAACGTTCACAGACATAACTGCCGTGACAGCTTTCTTGGCCATTCAGCAAGGGCAGGCAAAGAAAAAGACAGAAAAAAGAAAGGGCTATTTGGTGCTACAGATCCTCTTACCATGCTCCGGGCCTTTCAACGCTAGCCGTGTCTGGTGGTGAGGCAGGATCTCAAGTTTGACGTTATCCGCTGCGTTAGCCAAAAACTGAGTTGCTTCTGCCAGCGTGCAGTACTCCATGCTGGTGCCATCAATGGACAGAATATGGTCTCCTACATGTAATGCACCACATCTACATAAAAGGGGAAAAAAACTCGGTATGATCAGGTATGCTCTTTGCTTGGAAACTGAGTTTTACTGCCTTCAAACTGGTCATGACAACTATGAACGTGTTCAGTTTTTTCGAGAGAGATTTGTGTTTTGTAGGCATTGTCACTGGTCAGACTTTATATCTATTAGTACAAACCTTAAAAACAATTCAGTTAATACAGGATATGCCAAGACACCACTCACAGAACTGGAATGGGGTAGCTGACTATAAAAATATGTGTGAATGGCAGCAGAATAAAATGAGCAGAGCTTAAGGAGACTCAAGTAACTTGGTCACATATCCCTCACACAAGCACCCAGTTCATCATTTTTTGAGTTCTATTCCAAACATTTATTAGTACAAAAGCTGTAAATGATGATGAAATTATGCAGTAGTCAAACAAATAATGAAACCAGGGCTAGCATGGTGACTTGAGGAGTGGGGTGGGGAGGGGGGGGCTATCTGCTAAATCTCGCTGCACTCAAGAGACTGGCTACTGGATGAGTTGAGAAATGCAAACACAGCAGTCAGCATCCCGACGTACCAGTCAAGTGGACAGCTCCTTTAATTGGTTACCCCCTGCGAAACGGGAAAAAACAGAGGGAGAAAATTAAAGCATCCTGCACCATTGAACTGGAGAACACCCCTGGATCAATGGCCGCCACTCTCAAAATTTCTACTTTAGGGAAAAGCCCACAGAGGAGCTGTAGACTCACTGCTACAAGTGGGTGCTACCGAAAGCACCGTTGTCAAAGACGAGTTACAGGGTAGGGTGACTGGGGGGGACATGCAGGAGGAATTTGCTGCTGAAACGTAATATTTAAGGAATTTTTAGATAGAGGTATGTATATAGAAGTATACCCTATAATGTATAAACACATACACACACACACATACGCACACACCCCAGAAAAGATCCCACAGCTCTGTTACAGAGGTTTAGACCACTGAGGAAAAAATAGCTATTATTTTTTTTAAAATGGTTTAAATGGTTTTATTCAAAGGTTTAAATGAAACGGAAAAATTACAGCAAAATAACTTCAAAACACAGGAGTCAGTCTTCCTAATACCTCAGTCATATTCTAAAATACGAACAAAAAATCCAGGCATAAGGAGTTCCATTTCACTGTGCCACAAGAATGAGTGATATGTTCTAAAAGAACACTTCAAGGTCGCAAAGCCTCAAAATTTACTTCCCTTGACAGCTGTTCCATGTCATGGGCTTACTTTAAGAATTCCAGCGGGTTATTTAACGCCACAGCATTACATCACCTTCAAACTTCTGTGTCACATAGTGCAAGCAGACAGTCAGATATTACACGGGGGCTGGCTTATGTCACTGAATAATACATGAATGAGCTAAAGTAAATGGTGTCCTGGAGGTCTAAAACTTGGCAGTATGGAACAACGATCCGACAAAGCGCTAATTTTAAGACCTTCAATCTTGAGAGCGTCTGGTTCAGTTACTTTTATCCAAAGAAAAAAGAAAAAATGAAGGGTTTCTTTAAAACCAAACCAAACAGAAGTAGAAATAAGATGGATGTATGGAGCTGCAGTGTCAGCTCTCTGTCTCACTCACCTGTCTGCAATACTCGCAGATTTGATTTTGTCTATGACAATGACCTGTTTGTTGCAGCACATCGAGGTAGATAGTGCAACCCCAAGAGCAGCACCGGGAGTTTTGGCAACTTCAACCAGCAGTGGTCCAGATGCTGTTGCTACTGAATCTGTTAAAATTAAAAACCAAAATATCAGTATAATACCAATGTGATAATTACGCCATTTTCAAATTTTCCCACATCGAATTTCCATGGCTATTCTATTACTCTAATCAGATAATATGCCACTTAAGTTTCAAAATAGCATCAGTTTAGCTGTCAAGAATCAGGTCTTAATGTTGAAAATTATATAAGCAAGAGTAAGTTTGTGAATCTAGCATGTCTGAGTGTGTCAGAATCAGAGATGCACCAGGTTGGGGAACCAGGATGCGTTAGTGAATCACTCCCTTGAATAACTGAAGTTAAAAACTACCTGTAATTTAAAACAGGCATGCTGAAGAAACACAATTAATAAAAAAAAGTAGAAAATTACTTGGGGAAAAAAAAAAATGAGTAAGTGAACAGGTTAAAGGAAGATGCCAAATTAATTTCCAGAAAAGAAGTGGAAGTTCTGTGGACAACAGCTATAATAATAAAATGAAGAAGGCAAAGAAATGGTCTACCAGAAATCCCTCACAAAAAGAAAGGACGATTTAGGAGAAAATGGTGAAAGTGCAGCAGGTATGGCAGCTAGAAATAGTAGGAGTTAAAGCAAAATGCATGTGAGGAGGTTCAGAAGATTCTTGTAATACCCTGTCACTGGATAAAGTACTGCATTGCAACAGGGCACAGATAGTAAATGACCAACACTGGAAAAAAGAGAGCGGAAAAATAGGAGGCAGTAACAGTCATGACTGATGACTGTGGTGAGGAACTATGCCCAAGAGAGACAAGTGCCAGACAGAACAAAGAAAAAAAGACAGCAGGCTGCTTCCTATGTGCCAAAACAAAGCAGGCAGTGATAGGGGTGAAGTACATTCTGGAGACTGCCTCAGAACTCCTACTAACTGATACCAATCAATCAACAACTGATCTCAGTGGAACAAGATACAGTCCTTTAAGGACATAAAAAGATTGAGACAAAGAAAGTGGTATCAGAAGCCTTTGGAGGTACTTGCAGTCAGAATAAGGGAAAAAAATGAATAAATAAAGACTTATGCTGGAGCAAAGTTACCAAACATCCTGCTAGCAAACAGGAGGGCTTTGTATTTACAGAGTCCTGGACACTGCTGTCACAATACTAAGAGAATGTTCAACTGTGATGTCTCTCAGAAATCCCTGAGATTGAAACTGTAAAAGAACTGCAGCTGGGCTTCAAGGTATGGGGGAGTAGACAGATATAAGATATTCCATTCAGTCTTAAATCTAGAAAATCAGTTGAAAATGTTATTCTGGCACAGAAGAGAAAGACTGTGAAACAGCGTATTGCCATGCAAAACTAATGAGCTGTATGATGACAGAACGAACTGAATCACAGTTTAACTAATACTCAGCTAAGGCGCTCTTACTCGTTAGAGAGTACTGTAGGTAAACTGGATACAGAAACGGAGTGAAAAAAGGTTCTTGGATGGAATAACATACAATACCACTAAAGAACCTGTTAATTATTATAGAATTTCACTTCCCCCTCACAATTTGAAATCATTTTTATATTCCTGTTGTCCTTCTCCCGGTCAGAAACCTGAGGGCTTGAAGGGTAAATTTAGTATTTTTGAAAGTGCTCATTAAATCCGAGTGATTCATTTTTGTGCCCAACTGGGATGGACCTTTTAAAGGCTGAACTTCCACAGGCACTAGCAAAATAAATTGCTCCCCAAATCCGAACCAAACTTCAAATTGTGATCCACCAGAAGAAAGTCCACCTAGTAGCACTCCTGCCTGGAGCTTCAGGCACTAAACAGCTTTAAGCTGGATGAACTGCCATCAGCAGCTACCTGTCTTTCTCTAGTAACTAAAGAAGGAGGTTAGCACAATCAAACTCCTGTCTTAGATGTCTTGGTTTAGTGTCTAAATAAGGCAGATTGCACACAGTGACTTGCACACAGCCAAATAAGCAAGGGCAGCAGAGCACAGGTTAAGAAACCCCGATTCCCATTCCTGCACTGAGAAACAACTATTTTCTTCTTGAATATTCCAGAGATTATTGGAGCTACAAACAAGCTGACATTTACAAACACATAGGAAGAAGGCTCAAACAACGTTGGTCACCAGTACTGTGACAAAGGTTTGAACTCGTATTGATCCAGAAAATGGCAAAGCTCAACCTGCTAGTGATCTATTGCAAGCTCCTTCTGTAACTATTGCCTCGAGAAGAGGAAACTAAATGCAAATATCTCTTGAGAACAAGTAAATCTTTCAAGATGTTGCTCTAGAGTTATTCAAGAAATGCACGATCAGCTTATGCCCTAGTGTTATTTCCCAGGTGCCTGCTGAAACACACAGGGAAGGCAAACCAAGGCAGACAGGATGAATAAATAAGATAACTACATTAGAGGAACCAGAAGAGAAGAAATGGAGTGTGTCTAACTGTAGAAAATAAACACAAGGAAGAGAAATCAGAAGGCAATAATCAAGCACACATTCCCTGACAGAGAACGATTAGTTTATCATGTTGAAATAAAGCATGGATATGAAAATTGAATCATACAGGTATAAATTATTCATGTGTGAAGATGCTTCAGTCATTAAGATATTTACACCGTGACTGAGGCACTTACACACTATGTTGATTTATTGGCTATGTAATTACATAAGATATACTGATGAATGTTTGTGTGAAAAATGGTCGAGATTTTTGATTTTGTTAATAATTTTTCCCACTTCTGAGCACTGCATCTCAATCAGTACAAGAGGCTTGATTAAAACCTCCCAGAGGAAGAGGCATTGCTCTCTGCATGCTAATGCATTTCTTCAGCTATATAGCAGCATACATTTTTTATTTGACAGCTTAAATCACTGGTAACAAGGATTTTTATTCAGAATATACTTTTATGATGTGTAAATATATAATATATGATATATAAAAAGTTTTGGATAAAATAAGCAGTGTTATCACCCTCCCTCACCTTGAAAGATAATCATAAATAATTTTAAATTTGAAAAAAATTGTTTTTAAACCTGATTTCCAATAGAAATAAAGCCTAAGCGAACACACTGTGCATCTGTTATACATACTTGTAAATGTATGTACCTGCTAATCCTTGCCTATCCTCATTTCTTGTCAAATCCAGTTCAACAACTGATGGAGAGAAAACCACTTTAGGATTCTCACAGCAGGGCAAACCAGAAAGTGAGCTGCTTGTATTAGGCGGCAGAGAATTTACATGTGAAACAGTACTTATAAGTGTTCTAAAATGATAAAAAGCTTCAATCATAGATTGCAATCAACACTGACACTAAATCCACAGGAAACCAAACTTTATCAGTCTATGATGCTTCTTCCCCCCCCCTCTTTTTTTTTTCTTCCCAAAGCCTTCTTGTACTTCAAGCGGGGAAGTGCTGCTACACTGTCAGCATGTTTGTGTAGGAACACTGAGTTCTGCCGCTACTATCTGGGCTCTGCAGCTTCTCACTTCTCTAAATGGAAGGTTTTGGGTGCTTTCTTTCCCTTTTTTCTTTTTTTTCCCCCTTTTTTTTTTTGTTGTTGTTGTTTGAGAAGTCATGGAACACAAGGTAGATATAAGTTTTTGAGCTGCCTGGAAGAGCCAGACAAAGCGGAAGGGTGTCAAAACAGATTTTGACCTTAAAGAGCCAGCTGAACCAGTTGAAAGACATGGCTCCGCAAGACTGCTATTGATCTTGTCTGGATGCTGCTGTATCTTCTAGCAGTGATGTGAGTCACAAACAAGTGGATACTTCACTATCTCACACTAATTTTTCTCTTGCTGAGCTTTTTCCTTATTAGGTGTCCACAGGCTAACTCTTTCTTCACCTTAAAATAGTATATACCAGGTTCATGTAGCCATCTCTGTTGTTGTGACTCTGACTGAAAGCAGTGAAAAAAACCACAGTACAGCAAGTCTATGCTGGTTCAGATCAGCAAACAAATACATAGTTCCTCAAAACTGCAGTTCTGGCAAAGCAAGTTTTAATGATTTTGTAGCAATGCATTCACAGATGTTAACATGTCTAACTCCTGTCGAACTAGAAGATAGTATTTGCAAGAGATATTTTTTCTTGGTCAAAAAAGTGCTCTTCTGCTCCTCACATCTATCTTTGTTCCATTCATACAAAATCTTTGCAGACTACAGGTAGCAAATCGAGCAATGCCTCTTTCTGGTAGAAGCATTCTTTTATCCATTCTGTTCTTGTCAGTACACCTGATTCTTTATCTTTTCTCTTTTTTAATGTAACTCTAATTTTTATACCCAGTATCTTTGTACCTCATGCTCAGACTAGTCAACAAAGCATACTGTTACTTAGAACAAAGAGACACACAGATTATATTTTCCAAGCAGTAAGCCTCATAAAGGTCAGGGCATGTGACACCTGGATATCTTTCTATAACCCTCCTAAAAGGAAAAACATCTTCTAACCCTAAACCATGAGTTCCAATTTCCAAAGACTTGACCAGTAGCTGAGCAGATCACAGAAATCTGTTTCAGTGAAGTTAAACAAGATTGTTGGGGAAATTAAAAAAAAAACCCTGAAGTCTCCGATACTCACTCCTTTAATAGCAAAACATTGGAAAATTTACAGCAAATCACTTCAGAGAAATCAGTCTGAGTTCCCCCATGACCTCCAAATGGTCTACACTTCACACTTGCTTTCCTTCGCTCTCTCTGTGCCCTTTTTTTAATTCACAAAAATCAATGATTCCTTTTCGGCACCCGCTCAGCAATCACACATGCTACAGCTCTGACGTATATGGGACAATCGCTGATTGTTCCCTCCAGAACCCGTTCAGTAAACCATCATATAGGGATCCTCACAAGTCCTTATATGAAGAAACACAAAGCCATTTCCTTGAACTTGCTTTCTTAAAAAAAAAGCCACACAACAGAATATAGAGGAGGTTTACGTTTTCATGTATGCAACCCAGCAGGAGCTACGGAAAGGGTCCAATGCAAAACCTACTGCACCTCCCTTTAGAAAGGTTGAGACAACTGACACGCTGCTATCAGCACTCA